GCTGGGGGTGAAAGGAGCATCTAACTGTGATACAAAACAGAAAAGGATCAACAGGTCTAGGGGATGCTTGTTCTTCCTACTGAGCATGAAAGCCACTGCTGCCATCACCCTTTCATATCCACCCAGATCAGCTGGGCGGAGGGCCCATGGCTGTGAGGAGCAGACAGTTCTTGCAGCCTTGATCTAGCAAGTGCTGTCTGATCCTTCCTGCCAACTCCTCTACCTGGCAGGCAAGAGGAGCTCTGAACTCCACCCTCAGCAACCAAACTCTGTCCACTTTGTGCTAGCTAATTTTCAATCAGTGAGCACTGAAGATGGACATGATGGTACGGCTATATGGCCCTGAGGTTATCTGCATGGGTGTTGGTGCCAGACTGCCTTGGGTTCAAATCCCAGCCTCACTGGTGCACATATTTGGCATGCAAGGGTCTGTAACAAGCCCTAGGCAGTGGAGGATATAAGTAGTAAAGTCAAAAATGAGATACTAGCACTTACATGAATGAAGCAGTGTGTAAAAGGAAACAGTAAGAGACATCAGTCCAAAGGCTGTTAGTATATCTTGTATGTTTCGTTGGGAGGAACTAAAACTCAGCTCCAACTCCAGCTGTCTTCTTAAGGGTCTCTTAGTGATTTCACATCCTTTCTGCTTCTAGGGCCAGTGACTATTACCAGTAACTTGAAATAATTACATTTATTCTAAAGATTTGATTTTCAGAACAAACATACACACCTTTGCTTTCTAACTAAAGAAATTCAGCATAGCCCAACAGCTGAGGATTGGCAAAAACCAGAATTTACATACTAATGTATTAATTTTTTTAAACTTTCTATTTTGACATAACTGTGTTTACATAAAAAGTTGTGGGAATAGTTTTAAGATTAATTTGCTTGGCACTATTGTGTTCTGGTTTCTTCACTTAATGGTTTTCTTCCCTACTGGCTTTATTGGGGTTTGGATTTTTTGTTACTGTTTTTGATGATGTTTTCTCTCTCCCTCTCTCTCTCTCTCTCTCTCTCTCTCTCTCTCTCTCTCTCTCTCTCTCTCTCTCCCCCTCCCTCTCTCCCTCTCTCACTCTCTCTCCCTACACACACATCTGCACACTATATTTTTAAATTTAACTTTATATTTTATTATCCTTAAACAGTTACATATAGAAATTTCTATTAAAAATATCGTTTGTGGGCTGGGAAGGTGGCTCAGTGGTGAAGCACTTGCCTTGCATGCTTGAGGCCCTGGGTTCGATTCCTCAGCACCACATAAGCAAAAAGAAAAAAAGCCAGAAGTGGCGCTGTGGATCAAGAGGTAGAGCGCTAGCCTTGAGCTGAAGAGCTGAGGGACAGTGCCCAGACCCAGAGTTCAGGCCCCACGACCAGACTCCCCCCCCAAAAAATGTCCAGTTTGGTAGTACAATGCATCTTGACAATGTCATTCCAATCATCATTCTCTCCCACCCTTCCCAACCCTACCTAGTTAAATTTTTGCATATATACGTTGAATATTATGATTGCCTTACTTCATAAAAAGAGTTTGACATTCTGTTTGACTTTGTTCTCCAAACAGTCACAACATTAGGATTCTGAAGCTATCTCAGAACTCTCCTCTGAGACCCATGGGGCCCTGGGTTGTCTTTGTTGAATGGGGGGTTTTGTTTTGTGTTTAAATTGTTTTTAGTAACTTTTCTTTTTCTTCTATGAACTTGTTCTGATTAGGTTTTCCATCTCTATTGGCTCCATTTTAATAAGCTGTTTTCCTGAGAAGTTATCTGAGCAGTCGCAGCCCCAATCCTGGGATCACTGTGTAGAGGAGTAAAAGAGGAAGTTGAGATGACCTAAAAAAGAATTATGTAGCCATACAGCCTCCTGCCTGCACTGACCCTGCAGCCTTCCCGGAAGCCATCTGTAGCCTTTGTCTGTGCTGCTGGCAGACAGTTGTCTGCATGATGTAGCTGCAAGGATGTGAGAGGCCCAGGTCTAGGAATGCCCCTCCTCCATTCCTGTAGCTCCCACCCCGTCCACTCACTCCATACACCGAAGTGTCCACCACAAGGGAAAACTCCAAAAGGGCCCCTTGGTGGTTCCAATGTTCCAGTAGGCGTTCCAGTTTATTTCTAGTCCATTGGGTCTGACCTGGATTAACTGTCTCCTATTGTTTCTGCGTATTTTACCTTGAATCTTCTACCATTTCTTATAAAGATTTCTTATAAAGATTGCTCAGTTTTGCTTTGGAACTTAGTAGAAACTTTGTTTTCCTCCAATAAGTTGTCCTAATACTTGCAGTTCTTTAAATGTCATTTGCCCCTGTTTTCTTATTTAACCAGATGCTTTCTTACTGTTCTATATGTACTGGCCTTCCTTGACTCCCAAAGAAACATTCAATGAGCTTATCCTCATTCATCTCTCCATTTCTTCCATTTTCAGGTGCCCTGTTTCTTCTTTGTCCTATATAATGCCAATGTGTTTTTTTTTTTTGGGGGGGGGGGGTCCGGTCGTGGGCCTGAACTCTGGGTGTGGGCGCTGTCCCTCAGCTCTTCAGCTCAAGGCTAGTGCTCTACCACTTGAGCCACAGCACCACTTCCGGCTTTTTTCTTTTTGCTTATGTGGTGCTGAGGAATCAAACCCAGGGCCTCAGGCAGCAAGGCAAGTGCTCTACCACTGAGCCACCTTCCCAGCGCAATGCCAATGTTTTTTAGCCCTTCTTCTGCATCTGTTTTACTTGAATGTTTCTAGAAAAGTGCTCAAAAAGAGCTAATGTGCACAGTAGTTCCTGAATTTTTTGTTTGTTTTTCTTTGTCATGAGGCTTGAACTCGGGGTCTAGGGTACTCTCTCTGTCTCTCCCTCTCTCTCTGTCTCTCCCACTCTCTCTCTCTCTCTCTGTCTCTCTCTCTCTGTCTCTCTCTCTCTGTCTCTTTCTCTCCCCCTCTCCCCTCTCCCCACCCTTTTTCTGCTCAAGACTAGCGCTCTACCACTTTGAGCCACAGCTCCACTTCTGGTTTTCTAGTGGTTAATTGGAGCTAAGAATCTCACGAACTTTCTTACCTGGGCTAGCTTCAAATTGTGATCTTCAGTTCTTAGCCTCCTGGGTAGCTAGGATTACAGGCATATACCACTAATGCCTAGCAGTTTGTGCATTCTTTATTTATTACCAATCCTGGGACTTGAACTCAGGGCCTGGGCACTGTCCCTGAGCTTCTTTTGCTCAAGGCTAGCACTCCATCACTTGAGCCACAGTGCCACTTCTGGCTTTTTCTGTTGATGTGGTACTAAGGAATCGAATGCAGGGCTTCATGCTAGGCAAACACTCTACCACTAAGCCACATTCCCAGCCCAGTTAGTGCATTCTTGTAGGAATCTTTAAACTTCCTTGATACTTGACAAAGGATCTGGCTGGGTATGAGATTCTGCATACTTTCATTTCTCTCCTAGGACACTTTCACATCCTCAGATTAACTTGCTTAGCACTGGTGTATTGTGGCTTTCTTCACTTGATGGTTTATTTTAGCAGGGATATTGTCATAAGATAATAGGTTGTTGTTGTTTTAATTCCTGTTTTGTATTTTCTTTTCTACTGTTTTGTATAGAGTTAGGCTTTTATTTGCAGGGTTTAGACTATTCATTCACACAATTCCCAGTTCTTTTTTTGTCAGTGTCACCCAGTATACTCATGATTTCAGGGTGGGGGTAGATAGGTCATAGGACCTCCAGTCTCTTGTTTCTCTTGTTTTCCCCTTTGCAGGACCTGAGATCTCCCCACTTGGGCTCCTTTCTTTTACCAACCAGTCTCCAAAGGTTATCTCTCCTTTCCTTGGTGGTCTTTGCTCCCTGAAGCGATGCCCTTCGAAGACTTCCACCCCGAATCGCGTGTGTGTCTTACCAAAACCCTGGACAGTGTTTCCCACATGGTGCTGAGGCTTCTCCCCAGTGATAGCTTCACGTGAGCCTCATTTGCGCTCTCGCTTCTCACTTCCAACTGGATTCTCACTCCTCATCTCTCTCTGACTACTCTCTCCCCAGGGTTTATGGCCAGAATGTGACCTGCAACTCTGCTGGGATTTGGTATTCACATTTTTTTATTTGCAGGTGGTCTGAGGATTTTAGAATATTTTCTCTTCTAGTTGCACGGAAGCTGTGAGTTTTGTGTGGTTTTACTAGTTTTTCTTGCTGCTCTGTCTTGCTTTGTAAGTAGTTCATCACACTGATCAAAGTTAGTGATGGGCCTTTCTAAATGCTACTTGGGCACACTGAGAAAGGTTGGTTTGTTTTGTTTCGTTTCGTCCCAGGGCTATAGTCCTCTTGATGATGTATGCAGATATGAGAAGGGGAAAGCTGCTATCTTCTTTGTGAAAAAATTCAGATGGAGATTTATTAAAAAAGACATAGATTTATCTATAGTATAGAACTTCTAGGCCAAAAAAAACCCTCAAGGAAACAGATCAAATTTGAATTGAAGATGCACTTGATTACACATCTGAGTACCAGAGACTATAAAATAAAGATACTGTACTACATATTGCCTATTACATTAAAATGCTTTGAAATCCATCAGCCACCCAGCCACCCTGTAAATAACAATGGATTTGCCATACACCTATTCCTACATTTGACAAAAGAAGGACCAAGATTCAAACAGACTCATGCCCATACTCTTCTGGTTAGAGTAACAGGAATAAACCCTGAGTCCCAGGACAGGTATGGCAGGTAGGAGAGATCCACACCACCTCTAGCTGATGCACATGCACACGGGTTTTCACTTGCCTCAACTTTCTTCCTATTCCTGCTGTCACTAAGTCACCTATGAGTATGGCAACTCCTCGGTAAGAAATTTCTAGGGGCCACCTTGACAATAAAATTAACTTTAAAAGAAAAAAGAAATATCTAGGGGAAAATACTTTCTAGCGTTCTATTTCAAACTGGTTTGTTTAAAAAAAATAGCATAAGGTGCTTGTCCAGTTAAGTAGGAAAGGATTTTTGCACTGATGAAGCATCCTTCCTGTCTCCACAGAGGACAGCTCTGGGATGGATGGGAAGGTTAGCCTGCCTAACCTCCCTGCAGACACCAACTGGCAAGGTTTGGAGGAGTTATACAGCGTGAATGAAAGCATCTATGAGGACAGACACAACTATAGCCTTAGTCTGCTGGACTGGACTAATTACTTGAAGGATGTAGATAGAGTATTTGCACTGCTGAGCAGTCACTCTGAGCAAAATGAAACAAGCCAGACTCAACCTGCTCAAAGTGATGAGTTCTTGGTTGACTCTGCTGAGCTCTCAGTGCCAGGGGAGATGGCTTCGGCAGAGTCCGATGAAGACCCAAGTCTTATGGTTGGGGAAGTACCTCATTTGACCTTGCCAGCTGACCTTCAGCCTCTGTATTTGAACCAACCCACATTAAGTCCAGATAGTAAACTTGAATGGAATAATGACATTCCAGAAGTGAATCATTGGAATTCTGAACACTGGAGAAATGGTCAAACTGAAAAGTGGATGGAACAGGAAGAGGTCATCCATCCTGAAAGTGCTTTCAGCCGCCATGGCATGACAGAGCTTGCGCTTCCGCCCCACCCCGGGCTGCAGCCCATTCACAGGCATCAGGTAGCACTTCCCCAGGATGATGGGCCAGGAGAAGATGTTTTTGAAGATCAACTGTATCTTCCTGTGCATTCTGATGGAAACCTTCATCAGACGCTCAACACATCCAGCATACAGCAGCCTGTTCTTTCCAGCAGTGTGGAGAGGAAGCTGGCCAAGGTGAAGAATTACACAAAGGATATTGAACAGTATTTAAAAGGCAGTGCCTCCTCGCCTCTCTCCTCTGTTCCCTGACCCCAATCACAGTATTTTTTTGGTCAACTTTTTACTAGTAAATTAATAACAGCAATCCTATCTACCAACATTCCAAGCCACCCTGGGTGTATCTGTGTGGTTGAAATCATGTGAGCAAGTGATATTCCCACTGGGACTCATTGTGGCAATCCAGTATTTGCCCGGAGTAAAAAGAAAGGTTGGAGGGGGATATCATTTTGTCTCTTTTGTGTTGTTTCTTGGTACTAAAACAGTATTATCATTTGACTATCATAGGGCCATGCATATATAAAGGTTATCCAATCAAAATGGCTAGAATTGTGCCTTCTAAGTCCCTAAAACTTGACTCTCTCTTTCTCCCCCTGGTGAATCTGTCAATTCTCATTAACTGCCTGCACAATGGAGTTCTGATTCATTTTTTTACCACTGGAACTTTTTCCATGTCATCATTTTTGCTTCGATGATTGTTGCACTTTGAGATTGGAATGCCATGTCTGTTTGGGGGTAGTGGTACTATTGTATTTTTCAGGCCTATCAGCCACACTGTTGCCTCTCGGTATGAGAAAGTCAAACAAGCCCCAAGGAAGACACACAGTATGGATCACATATTGTTTAACGTATGCTTTTGCCAGGATACTATTGCATGTGTTTTACCTCGACTTGCTAAACTTGATTAGCAGAAAGGCATGGCTAATAATGTTGGCAGTAAAAATAAATAAGTAAGCAGGACAAAAATTGCCTGATCTCTCTGTGCTAGTTGTTCACCTTATGCTTAAAAATGGCTAATTTTTGGTTGTTTCCTTAACAGAAAGAGGAAAAAAACAACAACAAGAACTAAAGACATTTTAATGTTAGCTTTAATTTTCTTGCCTTGATTAATGAAGTTTGAGTGCTGAGGAAATATGGATAGTTTTGGATTTGTGTAAGACTTTTTTCAATGAATTCATGATTGCGCCACAATTTAAACACACCACAAGGGAAGTTAATTGTGCAACATTGAGTTATAGAGACTGTCACTAGTCCTGATTTTTTATGACGTTTAGTTCAAAATTGCGTTTGAAAATCTGTATTCTTAAAAATATTCTTGTTTTAAATGCCAACAGAAAGTTACCTCGTGGAGAGTTCAGTACCCCATTCAATTTCCTAAGAAGATTTTTTGTTTGAATTAACTATTTTTTTCATTTTAGATAATTCAAGAATTAAGATTCATTATGTTTTCTTTAAGTGTTTAAGGGTGAAACCTTTTAAAGAAAATTTAATGTCATAGTTGAATCTTTGGTAACTTTAAGTCTTTATCATAGACTCTGTACATATGTTAAAATTAACTAGCTGTTTATCAGATTTGTGTGTCATCTGCTGAATGACAGAATAAACATATTTATGGTCATGAATGATGTGCTCTGTTAAAAAAAAATTCAAGATCTTAGGAAGCATACTGTGGTGTTTCTTTTTTAATCTTGTATAATACTCTGTGATACTTTTATAGAACAATTCTGGCTTCAGGAAAGTCTAGAAGCAATATTTCTTGAAATAAAAAGTGTTTAAACTTTACCTGTTTCAGAGAAGTGAACTTAACCATTTTTTTTGATACAACCATTCCTCACAAATTGAGTTCTGATCTAAGTACCAGCCAGGTTGTAAAACTATCCCAAAGTCAGTGCAAGGTAGAGCATTCTCAGTTAAATGATTTCAACGTGGAGCTTTTCTCTGCTGTCAGGGGGAGGAGAAGGCAGAGGTGAACCAGGAGGCTTCTCACACATGCAGCCTGGGAAGATGCAGAGGACTCCAAGTTGTGTTAACACTGTGGAAATAGTCATTTTTGAACCAGGATCCCCATGTTGACACATTCCTGTGTCCCCCCCCCCCCCCCCCCGCACCACCACATGGCTGGGCCCCAGCAGTATAAATGGGCTTTTCTAAAAAGTAAGAAGACAGACCCACCAAGGGTAGCTGCATTTCTTTGGGGACCATGGAAGCCTAACCCTTTCCAAGACTTTACATTCTCTCCTTTCTGCTGTAACAAATCTTTTGCATTGGCCTCCAGGTTAAAGAGTAAAGAATCTGAAATGTCAAAAATAGAGGGTTAAAAGTAAAGAAGGGGAATGGCAGGAAACAAAGGATTTCAGGACTGGAATCTTTGGAGGACTGAAGGAACTGCAGTTTCATCAAGAGAACAAAGTTTGAGATAACAGCCTTTACCTAAAGTCATCAGTTCCCCAGTTCAGCCCAATTCTGTTTGATAGCTCCTCATCTTCACAGAAAATATCTCAGTTAATCCTCAGATTCATTACAGCTTTATACAACTGGCACTAGTGGCTTATGTCTGTCATCCTATCTACTCATAAGGCTGAAATCTGAGAATCAAGGTATGAAGCCATCCCAGGCAGGAAGTCCATGAAACTTTTACCTCCAATTAACCAGCAAAAAAAAAAACCACAAGTAGAGCTGTGGTTCAAATGGTAGAGCACCAGCCTTGAGTGAAAAAGTTAAGGGACACCACCCAAACCCTGAGTTCAAGCCCCAGCATTGGCATGCACATACACACAAGTGCATGCACACACACATACACACACACACACACATACACGCGCGCGCGTGTGCGCGCGCATGCGCGCGCGCATCTTTATATAAGCCCTACCAGCCTGTCTTCAAAGCTCTGGCAACTCACTAAACTACTATAACAGCTGCAATGATTCTCTTCTGCTCTCCCAACTCTCAACACAGAGGCAGAGGCATCTTGTTCATAGCTCTATATGAGACCCACCCTCTGCTCAGAAGACTTCAGCCACAGCTCTACTCTGGCTTTTTGCTAGTGAATTAACGGTAAGAGTTTCATGGACTTTCCTGCCTGCCATGTTGGTAGATGCAGCCACAACAATGCCAGCCCTCCCTGATCCCCTCACCCCTCCTCTGCTTCACCTGTCACCTTGGCCTCTGAACTAGTGCCACCTTTTATCTTTCCAGCTTTCCTCCATTTACATCTACTTTCAGGCTCCATTTCAACCTGTAGAAGTCTCATCTGTTCATCAGATTCCCATATTGTTCCAAATATTACCAGTTCTCACCAACATTCCTGGACTTCCCCGCTCCCGCACATCTCTCTTCCGGCTTGCACTCTTTCCTAAACAACAGTTTATGTATCATGTCTAAGCGAGAATAACCAGCCACTCGTGTTTTTGCTGTGTCCCAGTTTCTACCAACAAGCACGTGAATGTGACCACCTTGCTCTAAGTTAGGTTGAAGATGAAGACTTGGCTAGCATGTTGCTCTGAGCCTTCTGACAAGCCCCCTGCTGTGTAAGCAAGTGGAGAGGGTGGTTTGCACACCTCAGATTCTTCTCGTTGGTATTGGGGAGCCCCTGATACCTCACATAGGGACAGCAACAGAGATAGGGACAAAGGGAGTCAAAGTCTTTGGGGCTGACCGAACTCAACAACTGGCACATGGAGGCACGGAGTAAAGGTACTATCTACTGTCTGGATTTTCTACTCTCCCACTAGACTCTAAAGAGCCATAATCTATATCCTCCTCCCTTTCCTCACAGGTCTCTCGCTTCCTAGGAACCAATCAACTGCTAGTCATTTTCAGTGGAAGAAAAGAAATCATGTACCTTGCTACTCCCAACCCACTCCAGCCAGGAAACCTGTATTAATAGAGCATGTGTTTTTCATATTGAACACTAGGTGGCAGGCTACTATAATGAAACACATCTTTGCTTGGGGTCAGGGCAAAAGTGACCACTTACATTGATTTCTAAAGTAATCCTCTATGTGAGTGTTGAACAGGAACATATTTAGAACAACTTGATCCAGGACAAACTTGCTCTTTCCTCAGTGCCTAGCTCCTCAGCCATTCCAGCAGGCCAAAAAAAAAAAAAAAAAAAAAAACAGTTTTAGCTCCCTACTGATTTATGTTGGTATTATAAGTTGGAACTGCATCAAATTTTGACATTTAAATTCAAAAGTGAGCACAGTATATTGATCCCTTTGCTTTCCAATGACTTTATGCAATTAAAAATGTTTTTTGGCTACTATATGCTAAGACCACAGAGGCCATCTCTGCCAAGCTGGCATTTTGAAGAAGAAACTGGATGCTTTTCATAGCAATTAAAACACTGAGGTTGTCCTGTCTGGGACTAAAGCAAGATGAGTAAGTGACCACATTCCATAACCTTGCCCATTGCTAATCTCCTAAAGCCAAATATTTCTAATGGATCTAGTTTTCAATTTTAAAAAAAGATACCAGTAAAATGTCTCTCCTTTTACTCAGAAAGGATAGAAAATTTAGGGCTGGGAAGTTGGCTCAGTGGTAGAGTGCTTGAGTGGTAGAGTGCTTGCCTTGCATGAGGCCCTGGGTTCGATTCCTCAGCACCACATAAGCAGAAAAAAGCTGGAAGTGGCACTGTGGCTCAAGTGGTAGAGTACTAGCCTTGAGCTGAAGAGCTGAGGGACAGTGCCCAGGCTCAGAGTTCAGCCCACACAACCGGATCCAAAAAGAAAAAAAAAAGAAAGGATAGAAAATTTAAGCAGCTTGGAAGTAGGAAACCCCATTGCTCAAATCAAACACCAAAACCTGATAAAACTAGTCATTTTGCACAGGGACTACTATCTATTCCAAACAAGAATGGGCTTGTTTGATGGCCAAAGTGAGAAGAAATAAGGGCTTCCCTGTCAACAGACAGTCCTTCACCCAATAATTCATGGACCTCGGTCGTCTCTGACCTTACTCATGATCAGTGTGCAGCAGGATGAGGGAGTGTAGAGTGGAAATCACTGTCTTGCTTCCTACCTAGAGTGCTCAAGGCAGGCCCTAAATATAACCACTCCGCTTCAGCCCATGAGTCATGTTGTTATTCCTATATCTCCTTCACCTCCTTCAGCCTCTCACCCAAAAGGTTTAGATGCCAGTGTGTTTGGAACACTCTGCTGTCAGTCAAGACAGACATCCAAATTGGACGGATACTAAGTTAAGTGAAATAAGTCCGACACAGAGTGGAATGGTATCTAGGAGGATTGTGTAGGGGAGGGATGATGGAGAGGGAACGGTTAATTGGTACAGAAGGGCAACAGAATAAGAGAAATAACTTCTAATGTTCTATTGCACAGTGGGTAACTCTTCTTGACAGCTAATTGTAGATTTCAAATGGTAGAAAGGAGTCTGAATGTTCCCAGCACAAAGAGAGAAACGATAGATGCTTGTGGCAATGGGTGTAGTAACTGCTCTGACCATTACATATTATGAATGTGTACTGAAACAGCACACTCTCTCCCGCAAATATGCAAAATTAGTACGTATGAATTAAAAACTTAAACCTATATACACATTCTTTAAACCAGTGTGTTTCTCCCAGGTAGAATCCTAGGACAGTTTCTCAGGGACTGGCTCTGGGCCATTTTTACAACAAGTGATTAATCTGTCATTCAGTGGACATAAGGAAATGCAGAGGGGTTTTATCTACTTTATTGGACATGTTTTGATATTTCCATCTGTAGAAACCATCTTTTATGCTGTTCTGCTTGAGGCTTTTCCTTTATTTGCAAGTTTTAACCCTCATAGTCAACTGCAGGGCAAAGAATAGTATCTATGAAGTAATCACCATTTGTCTCTTAATTCCAGGTCCCTTGGCAGGTAGGCAAAAGCATGAGACTGGTGCAGGCCAGTGAAGTGATTGAGAGCAGAAGTTATGTGTATGACTTCTAGGCTGGGAAAGCATAAATCCCCCTTGTCATTCTCTGGACTCTCCCTTTCCTTGCCCCAGCAATCAAGAATGACCCAGAAATTTCCAGAATGTGCAGCTTCTAGATGGTGTAGCCTCTTCCCTAGGCCCCTGA